GAATAGTAAGCATTTAATAGTTTGTTGACTTGATTTATTTATATTGTTTATATTTATTTAAAATTGTTACATTATATTCTACATCAAAATATACCAGAACTCAATATACATTGAGAAATAAACTTTCAAATCTCCCTTGGCCCATTCAATCTCCAGTGTCTCATCCATCAAAATTAGAAGAAAAAAAAAATCTAAATTCTGAAAGCAGTAACAGATACAAATACATAAGAGAAATACAGAGCCAGGAAGAGAAGGCATAAGAACAGTATAAAGACACCAATATTAAATTAAGAATAAAACATTAAAAAAATAGCAATAAACAAGATATTCAAGTGAAAAGAGATATCCTAAGGAATGAAACGGTCTATCATAGATAATTATCAGACAGTATTTATTTTCTAGCTAAATGTTTCAGTTGCTAGTTTTCAAATATAATTTTCTATGTCCATTACTGAAATAGTCATAGTAAGGCTCACATTTTACATTGATTTACAATTTCCAAAATACTTTCTTTGAAAGGTTATAAAGGAGGAAGTTTATTTTTCTGATGAGGAAACTGAGGCTCAGAGCTGTTAAGTGACTTGTGCAGGTCCACACTACTAGTAGTGTTGGGAGTTTAAGTTAGTGGTAAGGTTGGACTTGAACCCCGGTCATTTGAAGCTTCCCACTACTGATATTTTGTCTTTCCACTCTACTGAATGAATAAAAAAAATACAGACATAGTAATCTATGCCATGATTGTCAAAATAAATATTCATCAAGTCAAAACCTACCACTCATAAAAAATAAAGAATACCAAAAGTTTTAGGATGAGTTATCTCCAGGATTATCAAACAGTTATCTCTTGATGTCAACTCTAAATGCAGTAACTGACTGTTGAGAAATACTGAAAGAGTTTAAAAAGAAACTAAAATAAACAGGGATTAATAGGAAAAATCCATAGGTGGAGGTATTAAGTAAGGGAAAGGGCTTGGCTGAAAACAGGTTCTCCATGTCATAGTGGCCATTCATAACACTCTGCTAGAGATACTATGGGCACTAGGTGGCGCAGTGGGTAGAGTACAGGCAGAGAGAAGAGGCTCCCAAACTAATTTGGTCAACAGTCTCCCCTTTTTTGGGGGGGGAGGGGGAATGACACACAATTACTCAGTGCCCCCCTAGAAATGTACTTTCTTTAACCCTTTAACAGCTTTTTAAAAAAAATTTGCATCATTAAAAAACAACTTATTTTTTAAATGACACTTTCTTAAATTTAATAATTTATTGTAAATTTGTGGGCTTTTTCCGGCATTGAAATTTTAATGATGCAATATTGCATCATGTAACCCTATAGTATCGTATAATAAATAAGTCATTACATGCACATATTCCTGCTAAAGTGTGATACTCTCCCTGTCAACACTTTCTTGTTAAGACCTGTTGGTGGACTTGACCACCAACCCACCATTGATCAGTTCTAACTTGCATTTTGTGTGTTTATTTGGAAAATAATGTAATCCCTATGACTTTAACTCTGCTACACAACAGAAGAAACATGCACGAAGAGTTTTTCAAAATTTTATCATCTTTTCTTTCCTTATGCTTCCATTGCCCCCTTATTTTTATTCAACAACCCCTCAACTGCATCTGAAGCTACTACGGCTCCACCCCCCCCAATCATTCCAGCTTGGGCGGAGGGGGGCGGGGAGTGTATCGCCCACTTTGGGAACCTGTAGAGTCAAGAAGACTCATCTTCCTGAGTTCAAATCTAGCCTCAGACATTTACTAGCTGCATGACACTGGACAACTCACTTGGCCATGTTTGCCTCAGTTTCTTCATCTGTAAAATGAACTCAAAAAGGAACTGGCAAACCACTCCAGTACCTTTGCCAAGAAAACCCCAAATGGGGTCACAAAGAGTCTGACACAACTGAAATGACTGAAGAACAAAAGAGATACTATCTTCACTTGGGGAGTCAGAGGAGTAAAAGTTATCATTTAAGAATCTCTTCATTTTTTGCAAAGGTTAGATCTGCTCTACTAGAGGTTAAAGCTTACTCCCACTTCACTGGGAAAACCATGGGAAACACAGTAGTAGCTCTTCAATACCTCATGCAACTGGAACAGTTTCAGGAATAACAGGGATCGTACTCTAAATCTATGCTGCAAATGACAGTAGCATCAAGAGGCAGAGATGTGCAACCACAACTCTGACATCCCCAGGGAGGAAAAAAAGCATTCTTCTAAGAAAATAGAGATGGTAACTCTTGATGATGGGTACTTTTTCAAACAAGCTTCATAGTACAGTTTATTACTACTAGCATGCAGTGTGCACGTGGGTGTCTACACACACACACACACACACACACACACAACTCTTTGGTATGATGAGGCAAAGCCTACAAAATCCTTCTTGGGGCTTTCACCAGACAGTACAGACTTCAATCCTTCTGAAATGAAACTTTGCATTGTTGCGCTGACATTCTAAAATAAAGGCTAAGGAAAGATCTGAGTCTCATATTGGTCTCTCACTGTGCAGATACTGGATACCAGAGGTGACAAATCTGCAGGCCACAATTCCTGTAAGCGGCCTGAACTAAGTTAAAATGTAATTGGGAAATGTTTAGCAAAATAAACAAAACTACAATACAACATAATATTCATTTGTGGTTTTCTAAGGCAACATGCAGACCACAGACTTCTATTTTCATTTGACATCACCGGTGCACACTTGTCCCACCCTCTGAGCATTTGCTCTGTGCTTTCCTACCACTTAAAATGCCTTTCTCCAATCTATTTATCCAAATCCTATCCAACCTGGGAGGCCAAGTTTAAGACAGACCTCACCTTCATGAAGCTTTCTCTGAGTACTCTATCTTACACTACTATTTCCCTCTTACCAAATGTATAGTTAAGTCCAGATCTCGACACGGTTTTTCTCTATTTCATGTCTTGTCTCCTCAAATAAAACTGTAAACTCCCTGAAAGGTATGGATGCCTTACATTTCATTTGTAGCCTCTAAAACGGTGAGTGCAAAGTCAATCATCAATGAATCCCCTGGAATTTCTATAGTTATCTCTCTCTGGACGTTCATTCCCTCAATCCAGAGTCATTACAACTTCATTACAGTCAGTCCCTCCCTGCTCTGTAACTCAAAAGGCTACTGGGATGATTTCTTTCAGTTTTCACTATGCTACTGAGGACACAGATTTTCTAAACATAGCAATAATAACAATTCACATTCATACAGTGATTTAATTTTAAATACTTTCCTTAAAAGTTACCTTGAGGAAGAAAGTACAATTACAATTTACAGATGAGAAGACTGAGTCTCACTGAGATTAAATGATTTATTCAGAGCCACAGATCAACGAACTTAGTATGTAGGGACAAAGTATCCAAACTTTACTTAACACTTAAAGAATGAATTGCTGGGGCAGCTAGGAGGGCCTGAGTTCAAACCCGGCGTCAGACACATAACACTCACTAGCTGTGTGACTGAGCAAGTCACTTAACCCCAATTGCCCTCACCTAAAGAAAAAAAAAAAAAAAAGGAATGAATTCCACAGTAGCGTTTAGTTCTAGTAATTTATCACATGCTCCCTTAAGACATTCTAGTCCATTTGCAGTTGGCAAAATCCTGGACATATCAAGAAAAGTAATGGAAACCAAAAAAGACACAGGTCACAGAAGTAGATCTGGAAAGGGCTTCTGAGGTAACTCCTAGGCCAACCCCTTCATTTCAGAGATAAGATAATTCTAATCATTGTACAAAACCACAGTGGACATAAACCTGGAATAAGTGAGGTAGTCTTGGTTTGTGGCACCTGAAAAATCGTAAAAGTGACCCAGAAATACTGAGTTCAAACTAACTAAAATCAGTCAAGGGGACGTAGAATTATTTCACATGGGACTAGATGAGAAGTTAAAGTGAAAACCTCAGTCTGTAAAGATGAAGAAAACATGTGAAGACTCTGGATAGGAAAGAACACAGAGATCGTTCACCAAACTCTGGAATTCTAATTCCAGAGGGCATTCCTGGAAGCATGAAAGTAGCAAATAAAAAGAAATTATACTTTGTACAACTGTAAGCTTATAAAACTAAGACTGAAAATATAACCACCAAAAAAAAAAAAAAGATTTGGCTGATCTGGCTAAAAGCATTATTCAATCCACCAACGGACATTTATTCTTACGGTTTTCTCCTAAGTGGGCTAAAATAACCGTGCTTCGGTTCTCGTTTTGTAAACACTTCAAACAAAAAGTGTACAAAAGCTATCAAATACCCTAACCACGAAAATAAACTTTGTATCTTAACACAGTATTCACAAAGATTCAAGCTACAGCGATCTATTTGTACGCGCCAAGCCCTGGAAACCGCGATCCAATCAGGGAGGAACCGTGGAGCACTTGCTTAGAAAAGAAGCCGGCGGCCCGAGCGCCGAGGGAGGCGCGAGCCTCGCCGGCTGCTCTCTGCTATCACAAGACAACATCCCGTCTGCGGCGCGGAGTCAGAACAGGTTTTACCAGTGCTTGCGTCTCGCCAGCCGCTCCGCGGTGTTCCAGGAGCCGGCTTTCCGCACGCCAATTGGTGACACGTAATCGCTCTACCCAGAGACGATAGCGTTCGCCTTAGTGACCAAGCATGGGGAGCGACGGGATGCGGATCTGGGACCTCCGGACCCCGCGGCGGGCGGCCGAGTGGGCCCGCGAGCTACCGGGCGGCGTCCCCCCGGGCACGGTCGGGGAAGCTGCCCGGGCCGACGAGGAGGAGGACGAGCGGACGAAGGCAGCGGCAGCTCCGGATCAACAGCGGCCCGGCGAGCCTCGGCGCGGCCAGGTGGGGCTCCCGGGCGGAGCTCGGACCGCGGGCTCCGGGAGGTCCGGCGGCCCTCCCCGGGGATCCCTCGGCAGGCCCGACGCCAACCCCGGGGGCTCGGGGAGCCCGTGACGGGGCGCTCCCCTGCTCTTTCCCCCCACCCCCACCCTGGCCCCGGCCCCGACCCCGACCCCCGCTCACCTTGGTTACAGAAGAGGCTCCACAGCTTGGCGAAGAGCAGCCCCATCACGCGAGCCCGGCCCGCTGCGGGGCCCTCCGCAGGTGCCGCGGCGCCGGAGGACGAGGAGCCGCCGGGGCTCCCACCCCCGGGAGCGGCGCGGGCCGGGGCCGGGCAGAGACTCGCGGAGGGCGGCGGCGGCCGGGGGCTCCTCGCACCGACCCCCCGGGAAGGCTCCGGCGGCCGCTGGCCTGCGCCGTCACGGAGAGCGGGGACGCGCGTGAGTCGGCCGGCTGCTCCCGGCGGTCCCTTTGTTCGGCCGGCTGAGCCCGGCGGCGATCCGTAGGGCCCTGGGCCTCGACCCTCCTCCCCGCCGCAGCCCACCTCCGCCCGCTTTAGCTCGCCCTCCCGTCGGCCCCGCCTCCGCCCTGGCTAGCCCGCCCTCCTCGGAGCCCGGTCCCGCCCCTGCTGACGGCGTGTTGCGTCATCGCGCTAACGGGCGCTGACGCAACGGACGTGGCGCTGCCCCGACCCTCGTTCCGATTGGTTTCCCCCGAAGCCGGCCATGCCCTCGTGGGCGTGTGGGCGGTGGCGTGTAGTTTCCCGGGACTGGTGGGAAGGAGGGCACGGGTCGCGGTCAGGCCGAAACCATGAGATCACGAGCCGCCCCTAGGCGCGCCCTCTGATGTCGCAGCCCCTCGGGGCCCTGCTAGGGAGGGGCCGAGGCGGGGCCCAGGTGAGCTCGCCCCTCCCTGCCCCGGCGCTGGGGCTCTGCTTGTGTGTGGGGAGAGGGGGAGGTTAGGGGGAGGGGGATGTTGGGAGGGGGAGATGGGGGGGAATGGGTGGGGCCCAACTTCCTTATCTCTGGACTTCCCAGCCCTATTGTTCTGAGACAAAGGAAGGAAAAAGCGCGAAGGAACGGAAGAAACAGCTTTTTAAACGCGTCCTGTGTGCCCAGGACTATGATGAGAGGTGGGGTGTGGCGGGAGGACTTACAGGACATAAATTCTGACAGGAAGAGACATCAAACTGGAAACGACGTGGGTGCCCATCTGTGGGGAAATGACTGAATTTGGTGGATAAATACGAACCTACTACGTACCAGGAACTGTGCTTTACAAATTTTCTCCTCACAACAGCTGAGGGAAGGAGGGGCTGCTATTATCCCCATTTTACAGATGAAGAAACTGAGACAGTCAAGTGAAGTGAGGGAGCTAGGAAATGGTAGACTGGATTTGAAGTCAGGTCTTTTCTGACTGCAGGCCCAGTTCGCCTAGCTGCAGCTGGTGAAAACCAGGAGCTGGCTGGCCTGGACCCCTTCCATAAACAGGTTTTGGAGTTTTGGCTCTGCCTTCCCGTTGCCACGAAATAGTATTTCACTGTAAGAAAGGATTAGGAAGGCAGAGCAACACGGAAAGACTTGAATGTACTGAATGAAATCAAAAGAGGACACACAGCAAGACTAAGAAGATTCGATAACTGTAACAATGTAAATGGAAAAGAAACGAAAATGTAAACAAAATATGGTTAATTGTTATGACTCATTGGTCACAGATCTTGCTTCTTTCCTGTAAGAGACGAGTAATCATAATTCTGAATATGAAGTGCTGACTTTGCTGGTGTGTTACCGTTGGTTCAGAGGTCCCCCAAAATGCTTCTGAGTTCACACATAAATCAGTGTGAGAATTAAGAATGCTGGAGCCGTAATCCTAAAGTATCGGTTTCTCTCTTTGGCTTGTTGCTTTACCGTAGTCCCCAGGAATCTCTTAAGACAGCTTAGGTATGGCTCCTGTGTAGTTACCCAACTGTAGTTAACAGCCCTTTTTCCAAAGGTACTCAAAGTGCAGTAGGAGTATTATTTATGAAACATGTTTTATTCAACCCAGAAAATGCTTAAGATGCAAAGGATTTACAGGTGCCCACAAAGACTCAGTAGCTCACTAGACTCCTTATCTCCTGCCCCATTTATTGTAATAGCCTTCTGCTTGTTCTCCATTCCTCAAGTCTCTCTCTCTGTCTCTCTCTGTCTCTCTCGCTCTCTCTCTTTCTCTCTCTCTCACACACACACCATTTAATCAACTCTAGTGGCTCACTATTTTTGTTCTTCAGTCATGTCTGACTCTTCCTGACCCTACTTGAGATTTTCTAAGCAAAGATACCGAAGTGGTTTGCCATTTCCTTCTCGAGCTCATTTTGTACATGAAGAAACTGAGCAAACAGGCTCAAGTCACTTCTCTGGGATCAAACAGCTAGTAAGTATCTGAGGTCAAATTTGATCAGGTCTTCCTGACCCTATGTCAGGTGCTGTATTAACTCCAGGATCAGTCCTCTGGCCATGTCCCTCCTATCTTTCCAGTCTTATACTCTAGTACTTTGTATATACTCAGAGATCCAGTGAAGCTGCCCTCTTTGCTGTTCCTCTCACATGAAACTCCATCCCCCAAATCCAAACATTTTTACTAGCTGTTCCCCATGCCTGTAACTCTCATTTCTCATCTCTAACTCCTGGCTTCCTTCAAAACTCAGCTCAAGTCCCACCTTCTGCAGGAAGCCTTTCCCAGTCCTTAATCTTAGGGTTTTCCCTCTGAGGCCATCCCCAATTTATCTGTTTATATCTTGTTTGTATGTAGTTGTTTGCATGCTGTATCCTCTTTAGATTGTGAGCTCTTTGAGAGCATAATTAGAGTGCTTTTACTTCACTGTGTATCCTCAGTACTTAGCATATTGCCTGGAACTTATCAGGTGCTTAATAAAAGCTAGTTAATTCAGTGACTCCTTCCAAATTAAAGAAACTATAAGGAACTAATAAACACATATTTCCATTCACTTTCTACTGTCATTGTCTAAGCAAGTCATAGCAATATTATGAAAAGTTGTCAAAATCCAGATTTTTAGCTACTTGTGACATGGAGGTTGTATTGTTGTTTGTCCTTCATTCTCAAAGAGGACTGTAACATCAGGAAGTTGAAGCCATGACGTGCAAGTGAATTGGATTTGAGTGAAGGAGGGCCGTGCGAAATCACCATCCTCACTTTCTCCTCCAGAGCCATCTGGATCCAGTGGTAAGATATAGATCAAGACAACTGGAGATGGCCCAGGATGCAGTGGGGGACCTTGGCCTTTTCAAGCTAAGGTCTTTAACAGGTCTCAGTTTGACTGAGGTGGTGCCCATTCAGTGATTTAGAGAAAGGAGGTTGTTGTTGTTTGTCCTTTGTTCTCATAGAGGACCATGATGTCAGGGAAGTGATGCCATGGCAAGCAAGTGAACGGGATTTAAATGAGGGGGGGCTGTGCAAAGTCATCTGGGTCCAATGGCCAGATATTGATCAAGACAATTGGAGATGGTCCAGGATGCAGTGGGGGACCTTGGCATTTTCAAGCTAAGGTCATTAATAGGTCTCAAGTTAACTAAGGCAATAACCATTCAGTGATCAGTGAGGCTTAATTAAGAAATAAGGCAGAAAATGGCCTCTTTACCTAGTTTAAAAAAAAAATCAATCTAGGAGGGGAAGACCCTCAGGGTTTCTGGCCAAAACAGAAACAATTGCTGTTTATGTTCACTTCGAGCCAAATGGGGCCCAAGCAATTACCCAGTGGAGCTTGGCCTGGCCAATCACTGAGAGCCAGAGTGATTTGGTAAGGCAACATGAAGGGCAATCTTTGATGGAGGATCTTCCCTGAGAAGTGAACAAGAAGGAAATATCCCTCCGGCAGTTCTTGACACTCAAACACAGGAATTCTCAAAATTATTAACTTTTCAATTCAGCATTACCCCAAAGATGGAAACAGCTATTCTCAAAATTAGTAGTCTCTGACCTTGCTCAGAAAAGGTAACAGAAAGGCAAAAGTGGTAGCCAGGATTTGGAAGCCCAGTAACTCCTTTCTTGGGCTCACCTGGGCAAACCCAGGTCATTTGTCATGTGTTCTTTCTGCAAGTTGACATTTTCTCCTTTTTTTCTTCTGGTAGCCCCCCTGACTTCCTGCCCTGGGGTCTGGAAAGACAAGGGGAAACAAGAACAAGAAAAGAAAAAAATGCAGAGAAGCAAGGTTTTCATAGTAGACCACCGAGGGGGTGACTATTCCAACAAAAATCTATTTATAAAGTGATTGAAGATTTGTAAAGCACTTTACCCTTATTATCACATTTGATTCTTACAACAAACCTATGAGGTAGGTCCTATTATCATCACCACTTTACAGAAGAGAAAACTGAGTCCAAGAAGGATTAAGTGACTTGTCCAGGGTCACAAAGCTAAGTGGCTGATGCAGAATTTGAACTCAGGTCTTCCTAAATCCAGTAGGGTTTGCTGTATTATCACAAAATGCCAAATCCTTCTGCACTGGACCAGCACATGGCCCACCAAAAAGGACCAGGACCAATGTGTCAGGGAAAGGGGCTCCCCACTCCAAGTGTGGCACAGGGAGGGGCTTAGATCCAGGGATGCTTCATGAGATAAACTCTACTGATGGGGAAGAGGGAGAGTGCCCTGGTTACATCTGTTATATTTGAATTCCCCCCTACAACATCACTGAAAAATGCTCATCCTGCCTATATTTGAATACCTCCAAGGCTGGGAAATGTGCTATCTTAGTCTAGTGATATTTTGGTGTCAGGACCCTTTTACATTCTCAAAAATTATTGAGAGGCCCAAAGACCTTTTGTTTATCTGTGTTTTATCTATCAATATTTACTGTGTTAGAAATTACAACTGATAAATTTTTAAATAGTTATTAATTCATTTTAAACGAAGAGTAATAAAACTATTACCTGTTAACAAATAACAGTTTTATGAAAAATAACTATGTTTTCCAAAACAAAAAAATAAGTGAGAAGATGGACATTGTTTTACAAGTTTTTGCAAATCTCTCTAATTTCTAGCTTAATTGAACACAGCTGATTTCTCCTGTTTCTGCATTTCTTGGAATATATTGTTTTGGTCAAGATATATAAAGAAAATCTAGCATCAGATACATATTTGGAAAGGGGAGAAGTATTTTAATAGCCTTTTCAGATCATTGTGGATATTCTTTGATGTTGCACTAAGACTCAACAAATGGTGGTTTCTTAAAATGTAGTTGTAATGTGGAATTTGATACCATATCAA